ATGTTGTATTTTTAATGGCCGAAAAACATTGTGTGTTTGTCTTTTTCTTCTGGCCGGTGAAATGGCCAGGTTAATATGTGGTAAACGAACGGGTTGAAAGAAAGAAAGAGTTGAAAGAAAAACAGCTGAGAGCCAAATACCTTTCAAAAGTGATGATAATTGCCAAAGGATTCGGAGAGAGGGATAACTTATGCTATCGTGTAAAGTGTTTTGCTCGGGAAAACTACGGAAACTTATTTAAACAAAAGCACATTGTAAATAACTGACTTAATTTTTAATCCCATTTCCATGTTCCATTCAATTGAAATAGTTGTCCTTTTTACTGAAGCCACACAAGAGAATGAATAAAATGGCAAACGGTAGTATAAAATCAGTGCTGGTTTCACAGAACAAAAGCAACGAAAGAGTTATTCAAATGCCGATGTGTGTTGTAAAACAAGAAGGGTTAAGCCCAAGTAAAATACTTTGAGTAAATAGGTTTGCACAGGTATCAACAGTATGTGAACTCATTCCAAGACAATTTTCATAAAATGAAACGTAATAATAACTTTTAAAACCATTTGGTTGTAGTTGACATTTTCTAACATATCCAAATGATATTCACAATTATATATCTCGATAATTTGAATTTAATTTTATGACAAAATCTGCCAATTGATTGTTGCGTTAACGTCATCTATTTAGCTGACATCACTTTTTCATCGGGAATTTATTCATCTTTTGAAATTTTCGCTCCCATGTAATGCATAATGAACAGTTAATTTTAACTAAACATTTTGGAACAAGCGAAAAAAAGTTACAAGCGATTCGGTATGTTTCGTAACTTGTCAATTATTTTACGCCAAGTCAAACATATTGAATATAAGGCACCATTTTGTGCCGTTATAATATATTTTGAGAGTGAAATTCGAAAATTCATTTTATCGTTTTTATTTCTGTCTACTTTTTTTGATTTTCGAAAATTCTCGGAAAAGTTTATCAGCTCAAGAAAATTTCGAATCGATTAACTTTTCCGGAGTTCCACTGTAATGTTAAAATGTATCAAAAATGTCTGGTTCATACTATTGAAGCGAAGTTCAATAAAAAAGAGTCTGTATGCACAATGACATTAAATTTCGCAAATAGAACTTTCTAAAATGAAGCCAATGATGATTTGAATTCAAAGACGATTTAAATACTTTTACTTTATTCAAATGTTGAGAATCTGTAACATAAATACTAGGCGAATATATATACGTAGGTTGCTCCATAATTTTTTTTAAAATGGTACTTATAGTGTTGCCCGATGTAAACCATTGTCATATTCGTAAAGTTTGATGTTTTGGTATGTATTCGTGCCCTGAACCTTTTGTCGTACGAACGCTATTTGTATTGTTTACAGTGACTGGTAAACTGCGACTCAACAAAAAAATGAATTTTACACGTGAAGATTTTCGTAAAATGATTTACTACGATTTTCGAAGTAAATTATCTCAACAACAGTGTTTCGATCGACTTCATTTGGCCTTTGGCAATGAAGCACCAACCCTTCAGACAATTTATAACTGGTACCGAGAATTCCGTTGCGGTCGTAGTTCGCTCAAAGACGAGTTTCATACAGGTCGTCCAAAATCGGCTGTTGTGCCACAAAACATCGATGCTGTCAGAAAACTGATTATGGAAGATCGTCATGTGACCTACCGTGAGATTGAGGCATCTTTGGGCATTTCATCCCACAGCATACATACAATTTTGCATGAACATTTAGCCGTAAAAAAGATTTGCTCTCGTTGGATCCCACATAAATTGACCGATGAACAAAAAATGGCTCGTGTGAGTTGGTGTAAAGAAATGCTCAAGAAATTCAATCGTGGTGCTTCAAAAGACGTTAATAAAATCGTCACTGGTGACGAATCGTGGATATATGCCTATGAGCCCGAAACGAAACAGCAGTGGACTGTATGGGTCTTCCAAAATGAAGATAACCCAACGAAAGTTGTTCGAGCAAGAAGCACTTCGAAGCGAATGGTCGCCTGTTTTTTCGGGAGAAGTGGTCATGTGGCAACCGTTCCACTAGAGGATCGTAAGACCGTCAATTCTGATTGGTATACCACCATTTGTTTGCCCGAAGTGTTTGGTGAAATAAGAAAAAACAACCACCGTCGCAAAATAATTCTTCATCACGATAATGCGAGCTCTCACACATCTTTTCAAACTACTCGATTTTTGACCGGTCAAAACATCGAACTGATGGGTCATCCACCGTACAGTCCTGACCTGGCACCCAATGACTTTTTTTTGTTCCCAAGCGTGAAGAAAAAACTACGTGGTCAACGATTTTCGACACCAGAAGAAGCAGTTGAAGCGTTCAAAACACACGTTTTGGAGATATCAGTTTCGGAGTGGCACGAATGCTATGACAAATGGTTTCATCGAATGCAAAAGTGTATCGATCATCTCGGGGAATATTTTGAAAAACAATAAAACCATTTTCGACAAAAAACAACTGTGTTATATATGTTTTTAAAAAAAATTATGGAGCAACCCTCGTATTCGCGAATTTTATATTTAATCTTATTCGATGGTTTTGGAGTAAAATTTATATGATACGAGAATATTCGCATATTTTACGAATCATGCATTGAATGTATGCAAAATATTCGCAATATTCACAGTGTTTTGATTGATATCAAAACCCCTAGATATAAATAATTGTAAATAATTGATCTCTCTTGATTTTTTGCGATTTGAGTTTTGAACATTTAAATGAAATTTCGTATGACCCATATTGGACTGTTTAAAGCCCTGATAAGCTGAACAAGAAAGTGTAATATATTCGTTACTGTTGTAAATTTTAATGAAATTTGCTCAATAAATTGTGATCAATTCGTCAAAGAATATAAATGTAATAGTATTTAATTCAATATTTATTGACAGATGACATCCAGATGTAATAATTTTTTCAAAACTCACTAATTGACTTTAAGCTGCACTGCACAAAGGAAATTTTATATATAGGCTTATACATAAGGTCAAAATTCTTTACGAAAGGGACCGAAAAAAAAATTCAATGGAAAATATTGTAAGCCTCAATAAACCAATAAAATATCGTTTAGTACTTTACGACTTGGGCTCTTTGGAAAAATCGCATGGAATTCTCAATTTTGACTAGAATGGTAATTTTCTCGTATATTCATTTTCACAGAAATGAACCATAACAACAAGAAAGCGAAAAAGATCAATGTTGATAAGAAGTGAAAGACTTACGCTCAGGCAAAGACCATATTCTCTTTTTGAACATCTCTTCTTTTTCATTGTTATTTGCCCAACTTCAAGGATGAATATCAAAATGTGTGTAAAAAAAATATGCGAGCCAATGCCCCAGATTTTATAAATTTTAGTAAATTTTGTGCAATTTCCACCAATTGCCAGTATATTCCAATATTCTAATCCCAGACTTTTGTACAATGTAAAACTGAATCTGATGATCTGAGTTCAATGTTGTAAAAGGAATTAAAAAGGTTTTATGGGGAGATTGAAGCGATGGTAATACGCGAATTAATTGACTACAAAAAACATCTGCTATTTAACAACAATATCTGTCACCAGCCAAGCGTTCAGAAAGACATACATTTATGCGAGCGATTGAAAGATGCTTGCATCATTTGATGCGCATCGATTGTGCTGTCGCCATACATTCGGATCTTCGACAGCGCACGAAGTGCTCCGAACGCACAACGAAAGCACTAGCGATGCGCATCAAATGATGCAAGCATCATTCAATTGCTCGCATAAATGTATGTCTTTCTGAACGCTTGGTCACCACTCATCTCATATTTGGAAGTACTAAAAAATGTATGCCTAAACCACTAGCTAAAACATTTGTTTTGATTGTAAATAACATAAATAGTAACTGTTTTTGATTGGTAAAATAATTCGCGGGAAAAATATGCGATGGTAAAAATTGCAGACCAAAAAATCCAATTAACTTTTCATCAGCTTCTGAAGCTATTTTCGACTTTTTTTCGATAGCGAACATTATGGTATACTTCAAATTATTCGCTACAATACCAACAATGTGTCGAATTTATAATGTTTTGACGTTTAGAGGAGCACACTGTTTACAGCGCCACATTAACATGTGACATTTCCATAAGTGGCGAATGCAAATCAAACATTATAGATTCCATACATTATTCGGCAGTGGTCTTTATAAATTACACTAGACCAATCAATTATCAATCTGGTAAATTCAAAAAAATCAGAAAAAAGTTGCAAAAATTCGATTTCTTTTTTTGTCGATTGTATGTCGATTATTGGCTCATTTTGAATCAAAATAGACAGAAACAAGGGACGAATATCGACGAATATACAATGTTATATGAACAATATCAGTTTGGTTATACACACGTACGTGTTTTTGTGTCTTATGCAGATTCGTTTCGCCTGATTTGGGCATCATTTTTTTTGCACAGCAAACAAATGCACATGCTCAGTGTCAAATGATGCTTGTAACACAGAATAAATTCATTTCAGAAATAATCGATATACCCCATTTATCCCGTTGCCTCATAGCAAAAAACAACATGCTTTTCTTGTCAATGACCAAAGAAAAAAATCATTATAGATAACGTGAGATTAAATGATAGAAATTGTATGATATTGAATCGTTTCTTGGTCCAATTTATTATTTGTCTTATCGCATACGATATATATGCAATCATATTTTTCCGCAGTAACAAGTTTTTCCGCATGCAATTACTCGTCTTCGCTCCACTATTCTTCGCCCAAACCATGTTATTCATTGTAAATGTATGTAGTAAAATTATAAGCATGATCACTGAAAACCAACGCTCTTTTTCTCGCTTTATTATTTGGCCGTTCAACGTTACAATCCACGTCTGGATGGTTTGTGCTCATCGCATACACTATGTCTCCGCCCACTAGCAATACACGTGTATTTAAGCTCATGGCATAGACAGCACTGCATCAGTATTACTTTGATCTCCGACCCAAACAGTTTGTGCTCATCGTTTTATATATTACTGACGAAATCAAATTGGAAATGCTCGATATTTTGATAGCATCAAATAATATTAATTAGTGAATTTAAAAAAAGACCAATTGAAACGAATTGAGTGAATATTTGTAAACTTAATATATATTTCGTCATAAAACATGGAAACATCAAGCAACGAACACATTGATCCATCAGTTCGCCGTTATCGCACCGCTTTCACTCGCGAACAGCTGGCACGCTTGGAAAAGGAGTTCTATAAAGAGAATTATGTATCGCGTCCCCGTCGCTGTGAACTTGCCGTTCAGCTTGGTCTGCCCGAGTCGACAATCAAGGTGTGTGTTCATTTTTAGTTTTTCTTTACTTATTTTGATGATGTGAAAACGAAATGAATGTGACCTAGTTTGATGAATAAATCAAACGGAATATTGTGATAAAAAAAAATGATCGTTGTAGGCTCCACAATAATCTACTTATTGAATGATAAGTACCATGATAACTTACAAAATTTTGGGATTATACGAAGAAAATGTCACATCGAAATTCATTTTTAATATGAAATACACAAAAAATACCGCGACAAATTCTTTATTTTAATCATAAAACCTGTTTTGTTCACAAACTAAAATTAGATGAGGTATGCAAAGCGAAACGTTGATATCAGAATAATTAAATAATGACCACTCAGTTCAAATTGAACGAAGTTTTTTTTAGATTGCACAGTAAACTTCATTGATAGATCGCATTTGAAGTAGTAAATGTTCAGAAAATGGCCCCAATCACATTTTAATTAGTCAGTGTATTTTGAGGCGTTAATAATGCAAATCAATAATCATTTCCCATTTATTCGATCGAAATAATAGACAATCAATTATTTTGGGTCATTTGTTGGTCGACTGGGGATTTCGTTCATTCACAGTTGGTTGATTAAATCAACTGTGATTTGTATATTTTACAAATCAATTTATTTCAAAATTGTTTGCCATTTTTTACACATCGATTAGAACTACGACATTTTTCGCAAATTTCGCTACTTTTGATTATTGATCAATGTCCAATTCATTTTTAAAAAAAGTACTTAAAGGTGTTTTCAATAATCATCTAAGAATTGAGAGAGAATTCTTTTTACATAAAAATTCCAATAAAACATTTGATTGATGTATGTATTTTTTTTTCTTCCAATTGCATAGGTTTGGTTCCAAAATCGTCGCATGAAGGATAAGCGGCAAAGAATTGCTGTTGCATGGCCATATGCCGCTGTCTATGCTGATCCAACTTTTGCTGCTTCATTACTTCAGGCGGCTGCCAACTCAGTGACCATGCCATATTATCCAAATCCGATGATTCCACAAATGCCAATGATTCCACCAGCACAAATGCCATCATCCGGCGCAAATCCATATGCATATGGTTATCGATATTCTCCATATCCAATTCCACAACGAAATCCAACAAGTATTCCACCTCATTCGCATTCGTCACCCTTATCAACACCACCCAATGGATCAATATTCACGAGAGGTGATTTTGGTAACAATTCATTCGGTAGTGATTTTATGCAGAGTCCCAGTTCGCCCATGTCACCGCTATCACTGTCGCCCGTTTCTGAAACCAATCTAAACGATTCAAAGTCACATGCACACGATCAAATCAATCACCATAACAATAATAATAATAACAACATTGACGAGAAAACAATAATAAAGTCTGAAAAGCCAAAATTATTTCAACCATATAAATCAGAGGAATGAACAATTCATTTTCTCATTAAGTTATTTTATTTGAATAGTTCATATTGAACTAATCAATTTGTAAATATTTTGTATATATTTCTAAGGATTTCTATGTTTAGTGAAACGTTTTGTATCAATTTAAGAAAAATAAAAACGAATATTAGAATACGAAATGTGTTTGAATTTGTTGTTCTAATGCCTTTCAATAGGAAATCGATTTTGAAACATTGATCAAATGCCTTCGTGCCAGATCAATTATCAAAATGAATTATTCAGTGGTAGATTCAATGTACCCGTAATGTTTCTCTGGAAAAACACAAGCTCTCAAAAAATGCAATTTCTTCACATCTCCCCGACATATGGATAACAATAACAAGATAGCGTTCAAAAGTTCACACATTTACAAAAGCAACAGCCGAATGATTATACAGTTCATAAATCCTTTGTCCGATATGAATTTAAATTGGCCGCTTCGAAAATATGTGGCGATACTTTGAAAGCGCGCATTAAGGCTGATAATGAATTCGTTTAGAAAAAATTGTTGTTTTATTTCACATCAAAATTCATATTTTTCAAATGTTAATTACTTTATGAGTGAAAATCTCTGGCGGTGAATTCTATTAATCCGTTAATTTTTCGATCATTCAACATTTTTGATGAGTTATTTAAGCTACCGAAATTCCGTCGCTTATTACCACACGCAATAAAGTTACCTCTGCGCTTTTCTACTCATTTGCTCCCTGTGTCTCTCGTTCCGTTTTATTATTCAATATTAAATTATTATTTCAACATTTTTCCTATTAATTTGAATTTTCATTACTAAAGTGCTAAGTGGTCAATTCAAAATATTGCCGCTGAATCTTTTATGAAATTTTTCAAATAAAAATCATGTCGCGGATCAAAGTCAAGGTTCTTTTTTCAAGCAATCTATCTTTTTATATCTGAAAAGCACATACGATTTGAGAAATGAAATATAATGATTTGATTGTTGTCATTATTACAAACATAAATATGTCATTTGGTGTCAAAATTGGTTCCCTTACATTTTTGCCAGAGACTTTTTGATCTACAAAACATTGTTTTAAACAAACTGAACACTTATATGTTTACTTTTCGCAACATTTTAGCACGTTGTTATATGTGGAAAATGAAGAAGATTTTTCTCTGAAGATTTTTACATAAATACCGTGTTGATACTATACCAATAGTATCAATTTGATAGAGAATCTTAATTGACAGTTTGATTTTGATGTATTCGTCAAGCATTCAGACAATTTATAACATTATCAAAATATTCTATTTTCCTTCTTGATATGCGGATTATATTATATTATTATTATTTTATTACAATATTATATTATTATTATTATTTTTATTATTTTTATATTATATTTTATTTTTTTTATTTTTTATTTTTTTTTTATATTGTGTTTCTCAAAGCATCGAGGAATATACGCGAGGAAGAGCGCTTAAAGAGTCAAATTGCGGAATGAGAAAATATATAAATTTTTTTAACTTTTAATATTTTGGTCCTCAGAACGACCCTTCTCGCATTTATTGCTCTGAGAAACAGTCTCTTGTGATATTTATTTGCGACCAATTTTGGTGTGTATTCAAAATGTCATGATGTTTACTTCAAAAATAGCTTCACCACATTAATTTAAAGAAATTTCAAAGGAATCAAAACGATTTGTTACACGAATTCACTTGAGCTAACAAAAGCGTATGTCAACCGTTTGACATTTGGCAATGAGAACCAAAATTTATGTTAACACAAACGCGATAATATCATTGTTGAGAAACAGCGTTTCCAATTATTTAGTGTCAGTGTGAACGATATGCAGAGGACCGTGAGAGTATTCATTGGCGAGGACAAGCGAAATTTCATGGTCAGAGAAATTAAATGAGAAAACAATAGACTCATATACTGTTATTGTGACTTTCGATAAATATAAAGTCGCATGATATTTCGCATAAACATGCATGTTGAACCGTACAAGCTAATATACACAGTAACAACGAATCGAAACAACATATTACACTCATGGTTATTGTGCACATGGTTCCTGAGTGATGCATCCCCTAATGTAGTGACCGCAACACAATCACATTCAAATGATATTTAAATGACTGCAGTACATAATCAATTTGATGTGATCGTGCAGAAAAATAAAATACGTTTAAATTGAATGCTAATCAATTGAAATTAATTTGGAACCAATGAAGCGAATCGTCGCAACAAAGTATTCCTCATACCATTTTCGAAATATTCTAATAAATTGGGATGGGAACTATTTCGCAATAGGTGTATTTCAGGGAATCACACCACTGAATCATTGAATCGAAAATATTTTGGTGTGACTAGACAAAACTAAAAAATATAACTATAATCCATTTCAATTTTGACTATTCGATTGGACTGAATTTATGTTATAAAAGGTGTCAAAACAAGTGACTTAGATCGATTAGAAATTGGGCAGATTCATCACTTTGAAAAGAGAGCATTGTTGCTATGTCACTTTAATGTCCGACAAAAAGAATACAAAACAGATTAAAAAGTAATAAAACCGAATGCAGTGTAAACAAGTCAAGTGGCTGAACACAGCTATGGATAAATTTCATTGCATAGTCCCCTAAGGGCCTATGCATATTAGGCTACACTTATATTGCATACAAAACATTATATTTTATGTGTGTATATGTTTTTTTTTAACTCAACAATTACAAAGGGGTTTTAATGTTTAAAAAACATTACAACCAACAGAAAATAAACAACAACAACAGCGACAACAACAACATTTAATAGGGATGTAATTGATGTGCTGCAAGAAGCGGTAGCACCAGTGGAAGCTGCATGAAGGGTGAATAATTCACTGTTTTGATCTAAGCAGTGTCGCTGAATCTTTGGAATACATCGCTGAACTGTTTTTTTTATGTTGTAAATTCATTGGAGGGGAAGATAAAAAAAATGCATACATTGATAATTGTATATCATGTTTTGGTGTAATCCAAAGAGCTGTGTAATATCTTAAAATTAACGCCGGCAAATAAACAAATGACAAATAACTTTCATTTTTATATAAACTTGTCTCGTACTGTTTTTTATATATGAAAAAAAAATCGGTCCCTTTGCAACAATTCTGCATTGGATAGCAACGAAAAATATACATTTTGACTCATTTTTTAATTTAAATTTATCGCTGAATTCTAGTCGATAATATACAAGTTTATGTGTATCAGAAATAGGGTGTGCCGTATAAATTCCATATTATTTATCTTAAGTAGTAAATCTCGTTGTAACTTGATTTCTATTTCATCAAATTTTAAGCATCGACAATTCATAAATTATTATCATAGAAAGAAAGAAATTGCAATTTCATGGCTTCTTTTTGCCAAAATATTTTCATATCATGGTAATGAACTCGTGACACATAGATTTCCATCGTCCACAATAATAAAATTGTTTTTATGTTGCAATTGCTTTTATCAACAAAATCTTTGCAATGATAACGAGTCAGTTAAATCACGTGTCAAGCGCATACCAATTCTGTGGAAATAATTTTATTTAGCAAAAATGTCGTTTGTCTTAGATTCATTGTCGTAAAATACTTACATTTTCATGAACCTCCACGATGATAGGAGCTTCTCTATTACCATCAACCCGTAATTGATATCATAAAGAGAGAATTGTAAATGTTTTATCGCAATAAAATCAGTTGAACTCAAATTTTGTCACAACACACACGCGCAGACAAATATTGGCGTTGCTAATTTTACATTGATTTTCCGCCTAATTCGATTCACCATTTCGAATTATTGCGGACAAATAGCAAAAACGTGGCAAGAACCCTATTATTATTTACTATCATATCATTCGCATCATATGGATTCATTTAAATCGGACATTTCCACTTCGGAGAAAGTTTCGACTTTGTTATTGTAGTTACTTTGAAAGTTTATACGAAATAATTTTGTTCAGGCTATGTTAATTTTTCAGGCTATTTTCAATTTTATTCTCAATCGTACTTAATCGGTCATTTTCGTCTTTAATTAATCGGTTATTAGCAGATTGAATGAAAGGTGATCCGAAATACTATTTATTTCCGGATTTGGCACAAATCACATTAAAAGAAATGAGTCTCTGAGTTAATCTTAAAGGAGGCAAACGGAAAAATTTGAACATCCACAAAACGAATTCGAAATATTCTAAAAATTTGTTCACTTATTCCCTCATACAGTAAAACCCCTCAATAAGAGACTCCCTATATGAAAGAAACTGTCTGCGGGAGGTTTAAATATACTTACGTACAACATTAACATTATTTTAATGAATTATAGCGCAACGCCCATTTTATATAGTTCTCTGCTGGTTGTATTCAGGGTTTCCAAGTGTTTTACAAACAATTGAATTAAGTGTAATCGCCTATTTCGACTTTTCAAAAATCTACATATGTTTTATTTCACTGAAGCTCAAGCTTATAAATGCATTTAAAACCTGATTGCAACTGTTGAATTTTTGCAGGAATTAGCAATAAACAATTTTTACTCGCACTTCAGATTGAATCTTGAAATTGATATTTAAGCATAAATAATGATTGAACAATTTTCTATTTCAATATTGACACAAATTTTCCTTTACATAAATGTATTCTTTATTTCATCAAAGAGTCAAGAGTGTATTCCATGTACCGCAAATAGACGTTTCGTTAAATGTGTCAAAAAATAAACAATAAAATATGGTCCATTGTGCAAATAAACAGTTACCACACCATGAACAGTGTAAACGTTGAGATTAATAGATTGATTTATTGCAAAATAAGCAAACAAGCACGTGGTCAACTGTTTTGTGACCAAATTGATATTGATGCTATTCAATTGAAAGCACACGGTTGACTGTCATACTATTATGTACACCTGCATGTATTATATCGGATGAATGTAAGGCAATTTAGTGGTTTATACGTACAATGGACACATAGCATTACATTGCGTTGCAAATTAATTGCATTTCCGTGGGG